GACAGAGCCCAACTATATATTTCTTGTTATATTACAGTATTATATCCTCCCACAGTCCTTCAGCAGGGAAGGTTTGACTAAGATGATGCATTTGACATCTACCTCCAAGTCTTGATGTCCCTGCATCCTGGCCTCACACACACCAGATTCAGAACCCTGGGCGCGGCATCTGACTGGCCAAGCTCAAGTCTCCTGCTCAAATATCAACCAATATCCACTGTGTTATTTTGTATTCTTTGTCCAACACAGGCTTATGTTGGTTACAGATGTCAGAAAACCCAGTTCAAAAGATCTCAGGCAAAAGAGGAAACTACGTAGGTTCTATAATCAAGGTCAGGTGGGGCTGATTCCCACAGGACCCAACTAAGGGCATCAAACTATCTCGTCTACTTGGCTTCGTTTGCCAGGCAGACCCTCTCCCTGTGGTGAGCAAGCTGGCCCCCAGCAGCCCTGGGCCAGCACGTAACAGGAACACGGCCAGCTCCTGGATGATTCTGGCAGAGAAACCCAGGAGGGCTCTGACTGGTCCAGTCTGAGTCATGTGACTACCCTGAGGCCAGAGGGTGGCTTCCTCACAGCAAAAAGGCATGCTCTTTCCAGGGCACAGAAGAGACATAGGGCAGAAATCACCTCACCTGAGGATGCCAGACATGGAGGAGGCCCCCAAGGTATCCCTGAGATGCTGGAGTGCCCTCTCTGCACCAGCGCCCAGTCCTGCCACCCGAGGCAGGGTCTCCTAGGACCCGACAGCCTGTGTCTGGGACCCTGAGGTCTGAGCAGGTCTCACGGGGGCAGGTGGGGAAGCCCAGGTCCCCTCTGCTTCTATTAGTCCGTCCAGACCTGAGCAAGCACAAACCACAGCAAGCAGGCTGTTGGGGCAGGGAAGCCCTTCTGTTCGTGCATTCATTCCACAAACATTTAAAGAGAGCAGGAAGGCTGGGGCTTTCAGGATGCAAAGCCCCGTCCTCGCCCTCATGGAGCTCAGGGTCCAGTAGAGGAGACCATCGAGAAAGTTCCTGGTAGAAGTGCTGAGACCTGAGAGGGCCGCTGAGCCCAGGGTTATAAGCCAGCCTGGAGCTGGACTGCAGGGGTTCAAATCCCACCTCGGCCGAGCTGCTTGACCTCTGGGCCTCAGAGTCCTCACCTGTGCAATGGGGATGATGATAACACTTGCCTCGTGGGCTTGTAAAGATCAGATGTGTTCGTGCACTGAAAGCTCTGAGAACAGTGCCTGGAGTGATCCGCTCTGAGCAAGTGTTAGCTAATGCTGTTGTGGTGATATTATTGTTTCCTCCATGTGCTCTCGTTGCCCCCCAGGGGCACACACAACTTGGGCAATCAAGGAAGAACTGAAGGAGAAAATCCCCGGGAACAGAGGCAGAGAAGGGCTGAAACAGCTTGTGCAAAGTCACTGGGGCTGTGAGAGGGCGTGGTGTTCAGTGTTAAAAAGACTGTGTATCATGGAGAAAAAATGAGACAATTCTAGGGAAGAACCCAGGCTGGAAGGAGCAGACATGAGCCTGTGGAAACGGAGAGATTGGCTTTTGAGCTTCTTAGGGGAATACAGGGCAAGAGGGACCGAGCTGAGTGTCCCTTGAGAGAGGGAGAGAGAAAGAGACAAAGAAAGGGAACAGGTCAGCAGTCCCCTGCATCCTTCCCTGCCCTCAGAGCCCATCTAGGAAGTGGGTTTGGAAGTGGTCCAAGTGGCAGATTAGGTCATAATGAGACGAGGCGTTGGCTGGATGACTGAGCTGCACCCACCTGGCTCCCCCAGCAGCCAGAGGAATTAGCTCATAGCTGGCCTGGCATCCTCTGTGCAGCCACCGTGGGCTCAGAGCAAGCCAGGAGCATGTTTGAACAGCAGTCCTTGTGTGCGGCGTGGGTCCCGGGTGCTGGCACATCGCTGCTGCAGAAAGGCTGAAGCACCCCTGCGGGTCGTCCTCTGCTGTGGGAATTTTGCGTTCCCCTGCAGCTCGGTGGCCTGCTGGTAGGGCATGCCTGGGCCTGGTGGGATTACTGTCTGGCCTTGTTCTTCCAGATGCCCCACGTTCCAGGTCTGACAGCGACTGTCTTCCCTCCCCGGGCTCTCTGCCTTTGCCAAGTCCCCAGTGAGTGTCGCTTTGTTTAGGGCTCACTGTAGACCCGCACTGTTAAGGGCTCCATGTTTGTCACTTTACCTTTCAAAATGATCTATGAAGTCAATATTATTACCCCCTGGGCCAGCTTTGTAAGCAAGGGACCCAGACAGCCCCACAGGGCCCTGTGCTTGGGTTCAAGCTCTGCTGTCACTGTCTTCAAATTCTCAGCACAAGGAGCCCTGTGTTGCATTTTGCCCCAAGCCCAGCAAATTATGTAGCCGGTCCTGGTTACCCCTACTTCTCCGAAGAAGACACAGAAGCACAGAGTGGCCATGAAGCCACATGCCCAAGATCACAGAACTGTGCCCGGAGGGGGTTTGACCCCAAGGAAGGTCCACGCCCTCTGGAGTAGAAAGAGGCTGACCTGAATCCCTCAACCCTCCTGGGCTTGATTTTCCCAGTCGTGACACAGGGTGACCCCGCCTGCTCCAAGAGGATGGTCACACGAGGGCTGTGTACTCTCTCTGAAGCTCAGGGTCGAGGGCCCGCATCAGCTGGCTCACAGCGCACCCTCTCCTACAGGTGCCTCCAAGTCGCCCGACACCGTCTGCGCAGGTCTTCGAACTGATTTAGAAACTGCTAATTAAAATAAGCTCCCCCAGCCCAGGAGGCGGCCCTGCAGAGGCAGTCGTGGCGGCCGTTTCCCACCCCGGAAGCAAGACCCTTCCTAGCAGGCTCGCCCTCTGCGGGGAGCCCGCAGCGGGCGGAAAGGGAGGGGGACGTGCGTCCCGGCAGCTCCTCCTGCTCGCGGATCGCAGAGCTCGTCTGCAATTAGATCCTCTCCAAAAGCTGTGCTGGAGATAACCAGCGCTCCTCTATCGGTGGAGGACGCCCTGTAGGGTAAAACTACCCCTAAAAACCGCTCTGGCACCTCAGCAAAGAGGCAGACGGCGCCTGGGAGGGGCCCCAGACGGCGGCTAATAGGTCTTTAGATTTGGAGAGACTTCTTAAGAAGCCCGTGCGATGGCGCGGCTGCACAGAAGACCCCATGAGAATACCCTGCATTTGCAGGGTATGCTGAGCCTACAGAGTGTGTTCAAACCCTTAGTTCTGCCGAAGCCCCAGACCTAGGAGGTTGATATCACCCCCATTTTACAGGCGAGGAAACTGAGGCTCAACAAGCCTAACAGCACCTGCGGCGGGACCATCTGATCCCAAGTCTAGTGCTTCTGTCTCAAGACGTGTGGTTCTCAATCCTGGTCATCTCAGATCACCTGAGAAGCTTTAAAATATGATACCTGAGTCTGGCCACAGACTAACTGAATCAGGACCCCTGGGACGGACCTGGGGCTCATGTTTGTGGAAGTTCCTCAGGGGTTCTCCTCTGTGTGGCGGGAGGTGAGCGCTAGGTCTCTCTGCCATTGGTTAGGGTGGAAGATTTCTTCTCATTCTTGGGGACAGGCTCAGAGAATCCCTCTGGTCAAAGGCCACTGCAGGAAGGGGAGGCAGAAACCGTCCAGAAAAACAGCAAGCTCTGCCCTTCCGGAGCATCCCCCAGCCACGGTGGGAGAGGAACCCACCGCCTCCCTGGTGGTCCAGCCTGGGTTTTGATGTTGCCCCTCCCAGCCTGCCTGCCATCACTCATGCCCAGTTCCCGTCACCCCAGACCAGCAATCACAAGTCAGCTTCAGTTTCTCTCCTCGGGCACATGCAAGTCAATGAAAGCCTCTTCTTCCCGCCTTTTCCACACCAAGGGTGGCATCCCTTCCAGGCTGTTAATATTTTTTTTTCATGTAAGCTTTCTCTTGGACATTGTTCCATTTCAACTCCATTCTTTTTCACAGCCACATGCCCGCAGCACAGGTTTTTAAAACTTACTCTGAAAACCAAGGACTTCTCTCCTTAGCCCAAGTCAGTGTCTCCTACTCTGGTGGTCCATCTCTTGCCTGGACCCCGTGGGACACAGAGGCTGGGAGCTCGGGGCCTAATTCTGGCTCAGAGATACTCCTCTACCCTGTGCCCCAACATTTTGGGGTGGGGGCCTGGCTCACACTTCCTCCCTGTGTGGGCATTTTAGGCGAACGTGAGAACCACCTTTCTAGAACGGTGAGTCATGGCCTCACTTTGTTTAACAACCCACCTGAGCGCAGTCAGCTCTCCCCTCAGCTGCTGCAGGTTTATTTGCTTCCTCGTCTGACCAGGTGAGGTAAGGTGTTGTTCTTGGAGGAAGAAGCTGAGTGTGCTGAGTAGGGCTCGCCCCGAAGAGGGGGAGCCCAGGGCGGGGCTGTGGTGGGCGAGCAGGGTGGGGTCGGGGTCCCTGGACCTGAGGCACCCCTGTGTCTGCTCACCTGCGTCTGCATGGGGCCCCCTTCGCCCAGGCAGCCTCTGCTGAGAGACCTGAGTCTGCAGAGTCGATGACTGGCCTGTCCTTGCTAATCACTGGGAGCTGTTGGGTGTCGTTCAACCTCTGGAGATTCAGGCTCCTCGTGTGTAAAAATGGGGACAAAAACATAATGAGGATTAAATGAGATCACAGAGGTGAAGTCATTCATAAATGGTGAGACACTGTACAGAGTATTGATTTATTAACTTTTCTGCATCAAGTTAGGGCTCTGAAATGGCCTCTCTTCCAGTCCTGAACTAGCAGTCAGCAGCCCCGTCATGGAACCTCTCTGAGCGCCTCTGTCCCCTCCTGAGACCTCGTCAAGGGGAGGGGTCAGTACTGACATCGTCCCAATCCTTCCTGCAGTTCTCTCACCAGCCAGCAGCTTCTCACCACCCGCCCTTCCCTGAGAGGAGGGGGCTCCATCCTGCACCCCTGCCAGTCTCTGATCTGCCTGCGCCTCCAGCATGGGTAGATCTTCTTGGCAAAGCTGCCCCCAAAGATTCCTGCTAACGCTTGTCTGTTCCTGCCTCTTGCAGAGCATGGCGCCCACAGGCCCCCGGGAAGCATCTTAAACCCTGAACGCCCGCAGCTGCTCCATTGGACACTCTGCAGCTCGTCCTCCGTCCCTCTGGACCCTCCAGGAGCTGCTCCCTTCCTAGCGATGCCCTCGGGAGCCTTGGCCCCAGCTGGATGAGACCGTTCCAGAGCGGGACCGACCTCGCCACCCACCAAGACTCCCACGCCCCCCTCCACCACCTCCCATGTCTGGCTGCCCTGGGCAGACTCTAGAATGTCTGTGCCCCAGATCCAAGTAGAAGAAGCAGAAAGCGGGGAAGAAGGGCCGGCAGGAGCAGCCCCGCCTCCTGACGACCACCTCCGGAGCCTGAAGGCCCTCACCGAGAAACTGAGGCTGGAGACCCGCAGGCCCTCCTACCTGGAATGGCAGGCCAGGCTGGAGGAGCAGACGTGGTCCTTCCCGCGGCCGGCTGCCGAGCAGGGCGGCTGTGCGGAGGAGGAGCCCCTGCTCCCCCCGAGAGCGCCCAGGCAGCGTCCCCCACCCAGCGGGAGAGCCAGCCAGGCCGGCGGGCCCCAGTCCGCGGGCAAGCTGGAGGGCTTTGAGAGTATCGACGAGGCTATCGCCTGGCTCAGGAAGGAACTGGTAAGTGGCTGTCCTTCCACGAACCCCCAGAAAAGGCGCCAGTTCCCTTTCTGTCTCTCCACCTCCGTCCCTCTGTCTGTCCCTTTCTCTGCCTCCATCTATCTCTGCCTCTCCCCTATCTCTGCCCCTCCCAGCTGCACATTTTCCCCTTTCATCAAGGGTAGGCCTCATTAATTACTCTGTGGGCATGTGTGATCCATATGTCCATCCGCTCCTAACCACAGGTACTTACGGAAAACCTGAGCCCATGTTCTGAAGGTGTCCCTGGCCTTCCCCAAGGCCACTCCTGGAATCAGGGTCTCATACTATCCTTTCTGAACTGCTAAGGGGGCCCCTGCATTGTGACTGCTCGTCTTTCTCTCTGAAACCCTGTCACCCTGCCATTCACCCAAGCTGCCAGCCAGTCCTGTGACCGCTCGTTCGGCAAGCGTGCACGGCCCCCCTCCCTTTGGCGCCATGCGGGACAGCAGGGCTGTATGGGGCGAGCACAGGGCAGAGCTGGGTGGGCACTGTGGTGTGGAGCTCGGGCTCAGCCCGTCACTGCTCTGTTAATGCTGAGCAGTGAACAGGGTGCCCAGGGCTGCTCCCTGTGGCTGATCAGCCTGCGGTGAAGGCTTTGGCTGAGCCTCGGAGGCTGAGTTGGAAATTGACCCAGAAGTCCGGCTGGGAGGGCATCAAGGTGGAATTAATGCGAGCACTGGGCGTGCGTTTGGGAGCTGGGGTCAGCAGCTCAACCTTTTTTCTACCCAGGGGCACAGCAGGCTCCCATCAGGGGTATTGCTCAGCATATGAGAAGTGGGTGGGCGTGCAGAGCTGTGTGTCCTTTACCCAGGGGACAGTCACTCGTCTCAGGCATGGTGGTGTCTCAGCAGAGCCTGGCATGATGCTAGTCACATGCTCTCAACTCCTGCCCTGCCCGCCCTGCCCACCCAGGTCGCACCTGCCCAGTCAGGCCACTGTGGCCACTGGTGAGCCAGCAATCAAGGGCCAACTGCCTTCCAGAGCCTCCAGTAACCCCTGGGCTCACAGGCTAGGCAGAGGCTTGCTTGGTTTGTCTGGCAGAATCCTGAAAACTAAATCCCCTTGGGGACTGAGAGTCCTCATGAGTTAAGATAAATAACTGGGGCCAGGGGAGGGCGGCTCCAGGACTCAGGTTCTGATTAGTCCAACATCTTTTTTTTGGTTTTAATCTTTGATGTTGAGACATCTCAAAACACATCCCTCCACCATGCCGCAGCAACTGGAGTGTAAGTTGCTTGCATAGAAGACGCGGCCCAAACACAGCCCAAACACAGACAGGGATTCATGCTGCGTTGCCACCAGGTGCTCACGAGGCATGTAAGAGGTGAGGAGGGATGGACGCGAGGTGGCCAGGACGGACCCTGGAAGCTGCTCTTTGAATTCTTGAGACTGATTGCTTCGATCTGTCTTCATGAAAAGGAACAAAAAATATCCCCATTAATCAAGGATTCAATTTGTTGGCTTTGGATTGCTGCTGGGAGTGGAAGCTCTTAGTTTATAATAAGTTAGCATTCCCCTTGGGTCCCCCTTTGGACTGGAAATCAGAGAAGGATTTCACTGTGTGTGAACCAGTAGGGCTTTCTCTAGGGTCGTCCCCCTTGTCCTCCAGATGAGAGCTGCCTCTTGACCCTGGCTGTGTATCGGAATCACCTGGAAAGCCTTGAAACCCCAAATCCTAGACTTCGCCCCCCGACCAGTCAAACCAACATCTGGGGGTGGACCTGGGCATCAAGATTTTCTAAAGCTCCTCAGGGGCTTCCAAAGCGCAGCCGGGAGTGAGAATCATTGCCACAGACCTACAGGCCCTGCTCATTTTTCTTGCCAAGACCCACTGCAAGCCAAACAGCACGAGGTGCCCCGGCCAGAGTGTGCTGGCTGAGAGGAGGACGGTGGACCAGGTCAGGGACGACCGTGGCTGATGTATGGGCTAACAGTCCACAGGCAGGGAGAGGGTGTTAACTGCAGGACCAATTATTAATAATGCTTTATAGTTGCATATTTCCCACTTTCCACGCCACTTCTTTGTGCTACCAAGGGTGGGTAATAAGAGTAATAACATTAATACCAAGATCTGTACTAAATGAGTGATTATTGTGTGCCAGGTACTTCATGTGCACAACTTACCTCTTCTGAGTGTCCCATCACCTTCCTGTTAGCCCATTTCACAGAAGAGGAAACTAAGGCTCAGAGAGGAATGTAGCAATAAGGGAGAGGGCAGAGACTTGAACAGTGTCCTGTCTGGTTTCATCACCCGTGTTCTTTTTCTTTTTGTTTATTGAAGTATAGTCAGTTCACAGCGCCGTGTCAGTTTCTGTTGTCCAGCACAGTGCTTCAGTCATACATGAATGTACACATACTCGTTTTCCCATTTCTTTTCTCAGTACGCCCATGTTCTTCTTAGCTACCATACGATATTCATAGTGTCTTTCAAAGGCAATTGATTTTGCTCTGTGACTTCTAAAAGTGTAAATTCACAAAGATGTTGGCAGTTGCCAGAATGCGTGGTGTGGGGCACAGAGGGAGAAACAAGATTGAAGGGTGCCCAGCCCTCAGGCCACGATCTCTTTGATTCCCACCACAGACCCGTGCCATTGCTGTTACTGTCTCCATTTTACAGAGGAGCAGACTGAGGCTCATAGAAGTCAGACGACCTGCCTAGAATTATATGACGAGTAAGGCCTTCACCAGTGAGAGCAGAGCGTTGGGGAGGGAGGCAAGTGGTGGGGCTGGAGAGGAGGCCCTCCTGCTGGGCCCTGTCAGGCCTGCCTCCTCTGGCTGCAGGAGGAGAAACTCTCAAACTCTAATGGGAAGATGCTCATCTTGTTAAAATGAAGATTCTGATCCTATAGGCCTGGGGTTGGGGCCATGGTTTTGAATTTCCAACAAGTTCTGTGAACCACACTTTGAGAATCAGGGACTGAAAGGCAGGCAAGACTGGGACCAGGGGACCAAAAAGGAACCTCACAGGAAGCCCCCAAGATTCCCAAGCCCGCACCCTTTGCCTTGTCCCTGCCGTAACTGCCCACTGGGCTTGGGGTTCAGCCGGTGAGTGGGCCTCTGGGGACAAAGTCACAGCGTCCCATACTGAGTGGTCCAAGAACCAAATTCGTCCAGAAAACTGTTAAGTCTGAGGTCAGAGCAGCCCAAACACAGACAGGCAGACAGGTCCACTGAAACGTGCAAGTCCGCTTGCTTCCAAGATTAACCAGTTACAAAGGCAACCTGTAAAACCCTTTGATTGACTTGAAAAGAGTTGAACATTTAATCAACATGCCCATTCTCCTGTTTTAAGTCTCAGTCAAAACAATAAACTTCACGTCATTGTTTTTCTAATTTGTCACCTGTCAACTCATTGAAGGTGTCATTAAAAATTAACCTTTTTTTTTTACATAGTAGCTTTAAAAAGTGGCTTCAAATTACCTTTGTTTTATTTGAAGCCCATGGTCTGTTTTTTTCCTATACCTGGGCAGACTCTGCCAATTCATCAGGCTCACATTCACAGTTGCCTTTTTCCGTGATGTGGCCAAGGAAACATTAAAAATCTGTAATTCAGTCAGCCGTGTGGCTGTGTGCCCTGCAGGATGCCAAACACTCAGCTGGCCGGGAGCTTGGGCTCAGCGGCGGGTCTGTGCCCTGGACGGGTCTCTGACCACCGTGAGCTCATCCCAGGAGCAGTTAATGCAACCAGTGAGGTGCTCATTGTCAACACTGCCCCTCCCAGAGGCAGGCGATGTTGGGTCTAGAAGGACGATGTCCATCTGGAAGAATGGGCGGTCCACCCTGCCTCCCCGGAGGCCAGCTCAGTGGCAGAGACTGCCTGCCTGTATCTTGTCTTATTTCCAAGGTCAGAGAGGACCCTGGCAGCTCCCTCAGGGCCCACCTTCCGTCGCAGCTTTCACCGCAGGGAAGACAGTGGTCACTCCCAACACCCCCAGGGGCCCCCAAGTGGAGGGTATCCTCCAGAGTCACGTGTTGGGGGTACAAGGAAGGCGGGCCCTTCAAACCCTGTCGGTGCTGCTCCCCCAGCTAGGAGGGCCTGACCTTCGGCTCCCTGAGCATCCAGGAAAGGTCGCCATCCAGGCGAGGCTGGGAGGGCTGCCTCCCTCCTCAGCAGCTTCGGGCCACCTGAGTCCCCCAGGCTGAGGCCCAGCCTCGTTTTTTGGGGACACCGGCTCAGAGCTCGGCAAAGTGGCCCTCTGCCACTCTGCTCGATCCAGGCTGCTCCTGCGGCCAGAGGTCACAGCCTCCAGCCCTCCACCTTCGGGGTGGCCTCACTGGGTGGCCAAGTGGCCTAGGGTGGGGCGGGGGTGATGCTTCAGGAAGGAATGAGCTAGAAATGGCCCTGAGGCTGTGGGACTCAGCCCTCTCGCTGGGTCTGGAATTCAGAACATGTCACATACCTCTGCCTGCCTTGGGTCCCTGAGCTTGCAGCCCAGGGAAAGGGACGTTTCCTGCTGGCTTCTATCCTCAGTCCTGGTAACACGTGCCGCTCGTCAGCCTGAAAGATAAAGAGAAGGGAGAAATCTTCCCCTTGGCCTGGCTGGTGCCCAAACTAAAACCAGAGCAAAACATGCCAGCTTCCTAAGGGGTTGTCTTTGTGGCAAGAATCCCCAGGCATCAGATATTTTTCTTCTCGGCTCAGGCAGGTGTTTGATCCCTGCAGACAGAGCCTTCTTCCTGCCCCTCCTCCCCCCAAAAGGTGTTTATGGTTGTTAGAAAAGGGAAAAAGAAACCTGACAAGTTTTAATAATTCTAAGGCCTGCCAGGGCAGGAGGCCTGTAGACCTGGACTCAGCTGGCCGCAGGGCTGGCCCCTCTGTGGCCGCGGCTTGATTCCAGCCTCTCCTGGTTAACCCTCTCTTGCCTGTGCTGCTCTCTGGACTAGCACATGACTGATGTGTCCAGACACAGCCCTCTGAGGCCAGGGTTACCCTCTGCTGCCAAATGATACGTCCAAATGACAGCTCTGGCTCACTGAAC